CCTAAAGCCCTCAGCACTGTAGTTGCCACCCCTCCCCTCCCCCCCAATACCTAGCAGAGAAGGGCCTGTTTCTGGACCTTTGACCCCTTTTACACTCCAGCAGCTCCCATCTTTGTGTTTCCAGCCTCTCATAAGCCGGTCCTTCCTTTCTGAGGTCTGAGGGGAGAAGGCAACTACTTCCTCCACTCTCTCCCCGACTTTGGATCCCCAGAGATTCCCCAGTGACCTCATTGTCCTGGTAACTGACCTTCTCCCCCCCCCCCCCCATTTGGCTTCTCCAAGCTGGGAAGGGGGACAGGAAGTGCACAAGTAATTATAGCCTGAAAGGGAAGGCGTAGGGCGGGTTCCAGCTGGCTACATCCCAGCAGGAGTAAGGACATGGGGTAGGACCAGCCCTCCCCCACCATTAGAAACACCCAGGGAGGGAGGGGCAAACAGGGACTCCACTCCAGCGCAGAGGGTCTCTCCCTCTAGACCCACCGGGGGCTTTCTCAACCCAGACCCCTTATTAGAAAGGTATACAGTGTTTGGACCAGGTAGGAAAAGGAAACAGTGGTGATTTTTTTTTACCCAAAAGGACTTACTGGTGAGAGATGATCCTTCCCAAGTTTGCCACCCACTCCTGTCTTCGCTCCACCCTCCACCCAGTACCCTCTGCCTTCTACAAATATGTACATACACACACACACCCCTACACACAGCATACAGACAGGACTGTCAAGCCTGATGGTTGGGTAGAGAGGATTCCTGAGGACTCGTTTCTATCTCCCCCTACGTTCCCTGGCCTTCCCCACTCGCTTCCTTCAGCAGTCATGCTCCTCTCTGAAACCTCTTCAGTCCCCCGTGGCCAGCTGCCAAGCTTTATCCACACAAATGCCTCACCCCAGGAGAAAAAAAAAAAAAAAAAAACAGATTCAGCCCAGTTCAATTGTTCACCAAAGGAGCCCGTTGCCACGGTGATGTGTCAAGAACAGTAACCAAGCTAATTTCACCCCCACTTGACCTGGCCCACATCTCCCACTGCCACACGGAGAGAACTCACAACACGTAAGTCGATGCCTGGCATACGGAGGTGATGGGTAAACGATAAAGCCCTTTTGCTCACTGGAGGCTGAATGGGGCAGCCCGGCAGCCCAGCAGCCATGCGCACAGGGCGTACACAGGCTCCAGTTGTGTGCTCAGCCACTCGCATGGCCACCAAAGTTCCCTGCCTTCTTCTATCCACCCAAGAGCAAGCCGGCTGGCCCATCAGCGACGCAGTCCAGAAGGACTCTTCCAGTCCTGGCCCAGGTGGAAGGTACTCACCCAGCGAAGCCCCTGGACGCAGCTGGGGCGCCGGGGCTCGAACACCAGCTGGTACGAGCAGCACCGGGGCCGGTGCATTCTCTTCAGCACCATATTGAGCAGCGTGCCCTCCGGAACGACGTCAGGGAGACCTCCCACCTGAGGTGGCCCCACGGCCGGACCCTCCAGCACAGTCGGGTCCACCTGCCAGTGGTTCTCACCTGGCCAGCTGACCTGCGACGTGAGGAGAAAAGTGGACAGCCATCGGCCGGAGGAGCTGGACCTCCCCACTACCACCCCAGGCTTAGCGTCCTCTGGACTTGGACTGGTCAGGCGGAGGTGCGGCAACCCTGCCAGGAGCCGGGGGAGGGACAGGAAGACCTGCCCCGGCTTCTGCTGGCTTGGCGCACCTAGGGGTCTCCAGCTGAATCACAAAGAGGGGGCCCTTCTCAGGCCTCGCTGGACTTCTGCCCCACCCCACCGCCCGGATCCTGGAGGCATGACCACCTTTCCCCGGCGTGAGGCTGCACACACAGATCCCTAGCTTTTCCTCAAACTCTCCTCCCCACCACCCTCTCCCACCCAAACTCCCCCACGTGTCGGCTTCCTCTCCCGCCCTTTCCAGCAGCTTTCCTTGGCCCCGGCCCCACCTTACCTACCTTCATGTTTCTTCTCCAGCTCACACAGCGGCGCACGCTCTAGCAAGAGGCTGGAGGACCCCCCGGCGCGCTCCAGGGCAGCTCCAGCCGGGAATCCTGGAGTGTGAGTGGCCGGGGGCAGCGAAAGGCCAGTTCCCAGAAGGACAGGTTCCCCGGAGCAGCAAGATGTAGGGCTAGGCAGAGGGGGCTCGCCCTGGGTGAGGCGAGGGCTGGGGGGCGTGGGGGAGCCCCCGCCCCTCCCCACAGACTACGAACTCCGAGCCTCCGTCTCCGTCCCAGATGTAAGAGCCAGCTGGCACAGGGCGTTCAAGCGAAGCTGCAGCTGGCACTGGTCCGGGCGGGAGCTGTCACACCCCCTGCGTTGCCCGCCCCTTCCCCTCCCCGGGACAGGCCGCGGGGGCGGGGAGCGGGCACTGGCTTTACTGTAGGGGTGGGCATAGGGGAAGAGGCAGGACCAGCAGCTGATGGAGTCCCTTCCCGGGACTACGTCAGTGGGCTCAGGCTTCGGGCCGAAGCCCCAGAGGGTAGGGAGTGCCTTAGGGTGTATGCCCCAGGCTCAGCCCCCGTGCCGGCTTAGGGGCAGCGATGGCTGCACTCGCCGCCACGTGGCCAGGAGGAGAAATGCAAACAAGGAAACTAGCGAAGGGGGAGGGAGTGAGTCACGGCGGCCCCACCCCGGAGGGAAATCCGGGCTAGGACCGCTTCCTGACCAGGGGCGTCCGGCCTCCCGTTTGGGTTCAGGGTCTCCAGCCTCCCGGGGCTGGACCTGGGCAGCCTTCCCGTGGGGAATCCCGCTGCCTGGCTTCCCACCTTTGCCCTCCCAACCGCACACACTGGCTCGGGTGGGGAAATTGAGGCCGGAGGGGAGGGACTGACTGCGTTCCAGATGGAGAGGGGATGGACGAGTGGATGGATGGACTGTGCTGGGGCTTGGATCTGGGCAGAGTTTTGAAGACAGGCTGGGCTTTGGGGGGACCGCGCCCCTCACCTCCCAGCGCTCCCCTCTGCCGGGCTAGATGAAGGTCGAGGCCCACACCTTCCACCGCTGCACAGATGGCGGGCACTCGCTCCTCCTTCCGAGTGGACAGAAAGCGACCTGGGACGGCGATTTCCGCGGCGCCCGGTAATTGCTCAGAACGTTCATGAGGGTTTAGAAGAAAGCGCGTGTCCAGCCCCCAGCCCCCAGCGTTCTAGGGCTCTCTAGCCTCTTCTCTTCTCCTTCCCACTGCCATTAAACCAGGAAGGGGGAGGTCGGGCGGAATCCAGCAGAGCTAAGACCATTTCCAACCAGAACTGATTTTCTTGATGCAACAGTTTAAACACCATTAAAAAACCTGAGTTTTAATATGTGTCTCAACGGTTTTTCTCCCCCAGGGGCATATTAGCATGGCCATTTTAACTCCTCAAATTGTGCTTCTACCCTACTAGCATGGAATGGAAGGTCTGCACTTTGAACAAACCTCCCAGGTGCCCACCCTTTGAGATGCAGTAGTGAAGATGTCACTGCTCCTCTGACGAAAGAAGGGGAACTTGGGAAGGAGTCTGGCTCACAGCCTAAGTTCCTAGAACTTGGGAGAATAGCCTGGATGGTTGGCCTACAAGGGTAGGAAATGGGTAGTCTCGGGGTGTCCTTGGGGGAAAGAGTTGGAGTTCTCGGGTGGAGTGGTAGCAGCACTCAGCATGCTGGATCCGGCCTAGAGGGTCTTGCAAAAGAGCTTCCTGAAACTAAGAATGGAGAAGGGGGGGGGCACATTTCCTATTCCTGCTGCCCCCCACCCCCCGCAGGGCAGATGGGAATGATGCTGTGAGATGAGGCAGGGCATCCGTTTACCTGTTGTTCTAACCATGTGCCTGGCCCTGATTCCTGTCCAGCCACAGTCCTACCCACGCTGTCTGGCTGTCCCTCACCCCCAGGACACCCAGCAGATGCTCTGTCTGCACTGTAGCTATTCTTTAGATTGCAGTGCCTAGAGAAGAAACAAAGACAGAAGAAGGGAGGGTGTGTGTGTGTGGCAGCCAGGGCCAGGAAGGGTATGACAGTTAATACTCATTATCCATTTGACAGGATTTAGAGTAGGAGAATGTCTGGGCACCCCTGAGGTGTTTTTAGAGATAAGACGCACCCTGGATGATGGCTTGCACCATCCCCACAGGCCAGAGTCTCTTCATGAATGAAACGGTTGCTGAGCACCCCCATTCGTCCTTCTCAGTGTGGCCAGCTGCCTAGCGTTCCTGTCGCCACCGCTGTGCCCTCTCCTTGATGGTACCTTCAAACTGTATAAGCCCTTCCTCAAGTTGCTTTTGTTCGTCATGGCTCAATTCCTTAATTGAGGTCAATACACAGGAAGCACCAGAAGAAAAGCTATTCACATGGGCAACAATGAGTGTCTGAAACCTCCCAGGCCCGTCCTGCCCTCATCCTCTCTGTCCTGGGACCCTACAGTGTTGGTTTTTGTGCTCACCTAATCACCAGTGGCCCGAGCCACCGAGAGGATTAGATGTCCTTTCTGAGAGGGCAGTCAGGGTCCTGGTCTCCTGCCTGTGCAGTCGGTCTTCTCAGGATTCTAGCCTGTGCATTGACTGCTCATTGGATGTTCCATTGAGGCTGAGGCCTGGAGGGTCAGGGGATGGGGAGGGATGTCTGAAGAAGACATCCATCATGTCATGTCCTGTTGCAGCATCCGTCCTCCCCAGATGTCACTACATGCCTGGTACACGTCTTAGACATAAATAGTAATTATAGTTAGCATGCACTCTAGCCCCTATTCTTAACACTTCATATACACTCCTTAATTGTCGCAACGACCCTGTGAAATGGCATTATCTTTATCCTGTTTTTCAGATGGGGAAGCTGAGGCTCCAAGATGTTAAATAATTCATCCAGTATCTCCCAACACATGAGTAGTAGAGCAATGAGTGACTCTACCCAAAGGGTCACTGACTCACTCTGTGCTCTACCGTTCTGCAGCCCCACCTTAAAAACATCGGGACAGCTCCTACAAAGAGGAGAAGCCTACATCAGGAGCTATATCACCAGCCCTGGGTATTTGGTTCTGGCAGTCAGAGAGGAACAGGTGATATGAGAGGCACCTCAAATCCACCTGACATAGGCAGCTTCAGTGAGCTTCTGCCAGAACACAGGCCCCTAGAGCCCTCTATTCTCTTCAGGTAAATGGTTGCCCTCCTGGGGACAGAGCAGGGATGTAGGACAGGTGAGGAGGGTTTCAGAGAATACGGCTTTGACTCTGGACTGTGTTTCTTCCACGTAGGCCTCTTGGCTGACTCTGCACACCCTGAGCCCTTGGCTTCCTGGATTTCTACTGGAGCCTTAAAACTCCACGTGTCCAAACCTCCTTTCCTGCCCCAGGGGGCTCCTCCTCCTGCTTTGCCTCTCTCTGCTCCTGGAGCCCTGCCATTGTCTAAGCAAGAAGCCTGCAAGGTAGCTAGTTCCCTTTTCCCACAGCTGGTCTGGCACCCAGCACACTCGCCACAACCCAGTGGTGGTCTCATAGCACTCACCATGGGCAGCCTACTCACCTTACTGTCAGCCAGCTCATAAGTACCATTTTCTTTTCCTCGAGGCTTATATTTTGCAAGTGGGGGAACTGGAGCACAGAGAGATGAAAGTCACCTGCCCAAGGTCACACTGACAGCACATGGGAGAGCCATCCATGGACATGTAATGACAGTCCATGTTCCTATCTTCACGGATGGGAACTCCTCAGCCACCTCTCCCATCCCTGATTGCTACCTCTGCCTCCCTTCATGCCCCAGTGTAGTCCCTCAGCATCTTTACCAGGAACTGTGCTGTAAAACTGAGCAGCAGATGCCACTCTCCAGCTCTGGGAAGGGGCTGGTAAGGTAGCTCGATTGATAGAGTGCTTGTCCCGCAGGCACAGAGCTCTGGACTCCATCCGCAGTACCAGAGTAAATGAGCTGTAGTACAGGCCTACAGTCCCAGCACTGGGGACGTGGAGACAAGGCCATGAAAGATCCAAAGTTGTCTTCAGCTGTGTAGCAAGTTCAAGGCCAGCCTGGGCTACCAGACACCCTGCTTCAAAGAGAGAGGGGGGGGGGGGGGGAGGGAGGGAGGGAGAAAGAGAGAGAGAGCGAGAGCGAGGCTTTGGGAACATAAAGTGCAGCGGGGCTATCTTTTCATCGCCCTCACAGGCTAATCTGATTGTTCTCCCTCTCCAGCAAAGCACATGGCGTAAATAGATGCCCCGTGATTACAGACAGAGACGCAGTCAAGGGGAACTCTGGAAAGCAGATGATGCCACCGCCGGCCTCCATTCTGCAGCTGTGGGGCAGTGGGAAGGGCTGGTTCTGTCAGTTTGCTTTCAAGGTGTTCCCTTCATCAGTTCTTCCTTACTCCCTCCTTTCTTAGCCTGTGCTGCAGACGTCACTCACAAGGGTTAGCCATTGTGAGGTTGGCCATTGAGGTTGAAAGAAGTTGTTAACTTTTGGCCTTCAGTGGGACTGCGGGAAAGAGGCAGCTTGGAGACTGGCCCTAAATAACATGCTACAGAAGTTAAGGCTTGATGCCAGCTCTCTCCCGGGGTCCCTGGACATCTACCTTGGCTATGGCTAAGCAACCGTGGGGAAAGATTAAAGCAAGAGCCCAGTCCCCCCTCCTCCTTCTCCCCTTATCTGGAGTTTGCCTCCTGGCTCTGTGAAGTCCTCTAACTTTTTTCCTGGGCTCCTTCTCCCAGGAGTGGTTCCAGTTCATTTACTCATCTCCTCTCCTGCCCATTCCTGGGGTGGGGGCAGAGGCAGGGAGCTGGAATGTTGGTGGGCACTGAGCCAAGCCTTCCAAGGACTAACAGGTCAGAGCCAGCCACTCACGGGCCACTTTGGACAAAGATATGAGCAGAAGAGAGCTGGTTCCTGCCTCCTCTAGGGTGGGGAAATGGGTGAGCAGAATTTACAGGCAGGTCTGGGGACCAGCAGGGAATTGGCTGGAGTGTGAGTACAGACATGCTTCTGGCAGGTTCTCTCAAGATCCTGGTGGGTGACTGAAAAGACCTGAGGACAGAGTTGGTGGGAGAAGGGAGGTACACAGAAGACTGAGTCTGAGTCTGGAGATGCCCTGGAGTGAAGAGCAGCTCAGCGACTCAGAAGACTTCATGTTACAGGAATATGCAGAAGGTGGCCACTGCTTCCTACTTCCTGTTTCTGCTGCTCAAGGAGGAGGGGAGAGGGAGAAAGGGACACACACACAAGCACACACACGTGAGAGTGTGTGAGTGAGCGAGCAAGAAAGAGAGAGAGAAGTGTCCTGAAGACATTGTATTTGATGTTGACCCATGCTCAGAAATGGCTACTCCAGTTGTACACACTTTCCCTTAGGCTCTCTTTCCCCCTCCCTCCACTACCTTGTACCTCCCTCAGCTAATCCTGCTCCCACTCCCACCACAGCTGGCCACCTGCTGACCAACCCCTCCTCCCAGGGTCCCTCTGCCAGTGTCTCCAGACTTCCTCAACCAGTGACTCAAGTGTTCCCATCCTCACATATGCTCAGCGTTTGACCTCTGTCCAGCCCTCCCTGGCCCCCTGGTTTTGGAAACTGTCAAGTGGGTGACTTCAGGAGCCCAGGACAGAAGTCCTGTCAGATAGGACTCTTGAGGTATCCATGAGGTACCCAGGCCTGCCTGCTGGGTTAATCCAGTTGTCTCCAGAGTATTGGCTGGGGTTGGAAGAGGAGGGAAAGGGGAATGGTGGCAACCTGGCATTCAGGCCAGGAATAGATCTCTTTCCAGCCTCAGATCTGTCCCAATCCTGCCCCCAGTCCCCCTCAGGAAACGCCAGAGAGGAAGTTGCACAGTCCAAGACTTCCTGGCACCAGATCCCCTGCCTGTTTCCTCCCTTCAGAGAGGCCCTGGTCGGAGACCAGGGGAGGTGCAAAGATGGACGTCAGGGAAGCAAGCAGACAGCCAAAGGAAAGTCTATAGTTTCAACTGCGAGACCTCCACGGGTGGCTCTGCCTGGGCATGAAGGGCAGCCTCAGCTATTCAGCCTTCTAACCTTGGGACTGCAGGGAGTGCTCAGTTTCCTCCTCCTCTTCCTCAGGGTTTTTGACCTTCAGGGGAAGGGGCGGGTCATCCATAAGCTTCAAGCAGACATGCTGTGGGAGTGGCCAGAATTCTGGCACGATCTCCTTGACCGCCCAGACCCAGACTCTTCCAGCCTTCATGGACTCGTCCTAATAGGCCTGGGAGCCATTACAAAATACAGCCACTGCCCAGCTGCTTTACCCCAGAGCCCATATTCCCTGCCCCACGCCTGGTACTTGCCATACTGCACACTATCTCAAGAATCCCCTGGGAAGAGCATCAGTAGTCATTGCAGGAACTGGCATATGGGGTGGCCCCTCTAAACCTCTTGCCCACTCCGTTGGCTCTCCTTCATTCAGGCTGTGTTTCTCCCATGCTCAAAGAAGCTTGCAGGGAGGGGGGTTTGCCCTGAGGTGAGAGGGCCCAATGAGGTACCCCTTTCCATATTCTACTATTCTTTTCCTGGCTCCCCCGCGGGTCTCGTTTTCAGTGCCTTTTTCCACCCAGTTCATGGCCCAACCCTGCTTCTACCGCTTCCCCTCATTGCTGGCGTGTCCCTTCCTCCTCCAGAAGGGGTCATCAGGTATGGCGACCCAGACCTCCCACAGGTCCCGTTTTTGGGTACCTGCTCTGGAAGAAGCAAGAGTCTGACAGATGTCTCGTCCTTTTCTCAGCCTTTGGGCAGGGATCTGCCCACTCTGGAGGAAGCCTCCAGGGGAGTTACTCATGCACCGCACCCATCCCAAATTCCAGTCTCCGTGTGAGTCCTTCATCATTTCTTGTGCCAGGCTTTATTGGCTGCCCTACCTCCTCACAGCCTCAGCCTGGCTCTTCCTTTGCCCGCATCAGCCTCCTGGGACTCACCCAAGTGAATCAGCCCCATAGGCCCCAGGCTGCCATAGTCCACGCTGAGGTAAACACAGGATTTACCTGCACTCTGTTCCTTATGCCTAAGGGAAGGGGGAGGAGATATTGGGACTTGTCCTGTGGCTGGGGCCTCACACTGCACTTCCTGGGCTGTTACAGTGGTAATAACACCATCCCGTTTCCTCCGGTGCCCTTCAGCTGCTGTCAAAAGGCTGGTGACTTCTGCCTGGCATCTTTACACTCATCATTTGTCCTCTGAAAGAACCTCTAGGCCAGAGTTCCTCACCCTGCAGGTCTCGACCCCGTGAGAGTATCTAATGATCCTTTGGCAGGAGTCTTCTAAGAGCATCTGAAAGCACAGGTGTTTACGTTACGATTCATAACAGTAGCAGAATTGCAGTGACATAGCATCAGTAGAATTTTACGTGTCACCAAAACATGAGGGACTCTATTAAAGGGTGGCATGCAGCACCACGGAAGGTGAGAAACCACTGCTCGAGGCTCTGCATGCCGAGAAGTGGGGAGACTCCAAGCTCTTCTACTTCACAGCCCTAAGATCCTGTGCTGGGGCAGAGGGCCTGGGGGACATCATCCTGGAGCCAAGATAGCCTGAGTCTGGGACCTTCCGGAGACTCAGAGCTGGTGTGCTCAGTGACTGGGGCCTCCTCATCGCCAGACTCCTGCAGCCCCCCTTCTAGGCTCTCTGGCCTGGGAGGAAGGTGGAGCTATAGAAGCAGAGAGAGAAAACCAGGGTCCCCTCCCTTGAGTCGGGTACAGATGAGCTGCCATAATCAAGGGCTTCAGTTCTGAACTTCTCAGGGCTAGGGGAGGATAGGGTGAGGAGGTGAGGCCTGGGCAGAGGGATCTATGATCTCACATCTGATTTAAGAAGTCTACAGAGTTTTAGCGGACCTGCTTAGCTGCGTGTGAAGGTGCAAGGCTGCGGAAGGTCGCCCCCTAGAGCCTGGATGGATTAATTCTGTATGGAGAGCTAGCCTTTCTTCCCTGAATTCTTGCTGAGTTTCTACCTGGGAAACAGGAGGACTAACCGCTAGGTCTTGCTCTAGACCTGCGGTTCTGAACCTTCTTAATGCTGTGACCCTTTAATACAGTTCCTCATGCTGTTTCCCTGCAAGTTTCCTACCCATGTTGGGATTCCCTCAGAGCCCCATATTCCCTGCCCTGTGCCTGGCACTCACCATACCGCACACTATCCCAAGAGTCCTCTGGGGAGAACCTCAACCATAAAATTATTTTGGTTGCTACTTCATAACCGTAATTTTGCTACTGTTATGAATTGTAATGTAAATATCTGTGTTTTCCAATGGTCTTAGCCCCCCCCCCTTGTGAAAAGGTCATTTGACCCCTCCTCCCAAAAGGGTCACTACCCACAGGGTGAAAACTGCTGCTCTTGACTGAAGGGCTTCCTGGGATGTACGGCTTTCACTAGTAAAACAGGGAAAGTCAGCTTAGCAATTAAAGATGCTCGCTGCCATGCCTGATGACCAAAGTTCAATCCCTAGGACCCACGTGGTAGAGCACCAATTCTGTTCTCTGATCTCCACACTAAGGCCTTGGTTAGTGGCCACTGCTTTTGGATGTGATGGTTGGGCTGTGTAGAAAGAACTTGATAGAGTGAAAGTATTATGTAGGTATCCTATTTTAGACATAAAGGTCATAAGTAGCCTTTTTGAAGGAGGAACATTTGAGCTGATCCCAAAGATGGGAGGAGAAAAAGCACCAACCCATCATGGCCATATTAATTAAAGTAAGCAATTAATTAAAGCAAGCTTTTTTATTCACTTATGTGGGCTGTCTCCTCTTAAGGCAGAGTTCAAAGAGGTCAGCATTGGATGTGAGGATGACAAGGCTTTCATAGAACAGGGGTAGGAGGGTTTCCAAATGGGGGATTTGGTGGGCAGAATTTGTGAGGTTACAGGGTCAGAATCATAAACATAACAAGGTAGTCCCTCCTGAAACAAAAGCACAACAAAAGTTGCAAGGTGGACACAGCAAGGTAGTCATAACAACAGGTAGTCATAACAAGGTAGTGTAGGCTTTGATTTTTCAAAAAATCTCTACTTTATTTGTGGTTCCTTAAGCCTCTACCACCCTTCCAACCCCTCAACCCTAGGTAGAAGAGAAAAAGGTTAGTAGGGACAGGGGATGCAAACCCCTTCAGATGTAGTTTCGGGGATGGATGGTGATTCTACTCTTTGTCATCAGGATATACAGCAGTCCAGCAAACCAGCAGCAGTGGCGAATGCAGCAGCAATCCAGCAATAGCAAAAGCAGCAACAAGAACCACCAGCAGCAGCAGCAACAGCAGCAACCTCCTTTCAGTGTTCTCCAAACATTTCTCTCTAGGAGCATCTCAAATCAAAGCACTCTTTCTCTCTGGCCTCCTATTTATATCTTCTCAGAGTCAGCACCAGGATGTTTTTTTTCAGCTGGCAAAAAAACCAATGCCCCATGCATGAGGCAGTTTCTAAGCTGACAAGGATCATGTGCCTTCTCACAAAGCTGTGGATTCCTACAGCCCACACTTGGGATTACAACAAAAACATATTTATAAAACATAACCAAAACTTCCACTACAAGGGAGTCATAGGTTGTAGTAGGTGGCTCTTCCTCCCGAGCCCAGGCTCCTGGAATAAAGACTCATGAAACTCACTAAATATTATGCAAATACCTGGGCCATATAGCT